GAGCGCTTCCTGCCTTCTCCACGGGGAGGACAGGACTTGACCTAAACGGTGCTTTGGAGATGTCGTGGATCGTTCTCGTTATGTCTTCGTTTTGCAGCGAAGGCGGAACGAAGATGAAACGAAGGACAACGAAAGCAAAACGAGAACGACAATCAATGTTTTGGTCGAGCCCTGGGGAAGGACGAGGGGCAAAGGGGACGAGGGCATCGAGATGTTTGAGCGTTGTTGGTCCTGCTTCGGGCCTGCGGGCTTCCCCGACTTGGGATGCCACCCTGTAGGAGCCTGGATTTGACCAGATCACCAGAGAGCATAGGGTGAGGAGGGGGCGGTGGACAGAGAAGGCGATATAGAGGTGGAGCATCGACCAGAGCAGCGTCCAGCGCCGCGCCGAGACGGCACTGCCACTTTCATTCACAAGCTGCCGCGACTCGCTCTTCAGAGGCCGGTCTCTCTCTACACCGCTCTCGCGCGGCCCCGCTGCCTGTGACTGCCATGCGATTCGGCGAAGTGACCACGCGCCGTGCCCACGCGGGAACGCCAGCTCTGAGCGAAGTGCGCGCGGAGCTCGGGCGAGGGCGGCAAATCGCCCACCCGCGGGGGCCCCCAACAAATTGGTGACTGGAAGAGACAAGCCGCGCCGAGGCGGGAGCGCCACGATCAGGCGACGTCTGCGCGGCGCCGAGGCGAGAGCGGCTCTTCTGTCGTTCGCCCGCGCGCCGCCGAAACGGGGTGCGAAACAAGTGGGCCGCGCCCACAAGGGAGCGCACCTCCCAAGAAGCAGCGCCCCGTGCTCCGCTCCCCCCCCCTCCTCCATCCCCTCCCCCTCCTCCCCCTCCTCAGTTCTGCTCTTCACATCCGTCATCTCGAGACGAGAAACATTGATTCAGTGCTGTTCCCTGTTCCCGACGTGTTGGGTCTTCGTTATGAAGAGACAGCGCCCCCCCTTGCACAGCCCTCCCCCCTCCGTCCCCCCCCCCTCCGCCCCCCCCCCCTGCTCTGCTCTCCACGTCAGCCTACGAGTTCGGGGGCACCTCTCGCACACGCTTCGTGGCCCCGCGAGGGGCTCTTCCGAAGGCCCCAGTGGCCCGGTCCGCGTGCGCCCCCCCGCCCCACGTCGTCGGCACACACCTCGCGCACCCCGTGGACCCCCGTGGCAGGGTTCGCATGCGCCCCCCGCCCCCTTTCGGCACACCCCTCGCACGCTTCCTGGTCCCATAGGGAGCTTCGAAGACCCCAGCGGTAGGGTTCGCACCCGCCTCCCCGCACAAGACCGGCACACCTCTCACACGCTTCGTGTTCCAAAGGGGAGCTCCGACGGACCCCTGCGGCAGGGTTCGCATGTGTCACCCCGCACCATGTATAAACACTCACACCATTCGCGGTCCCATGGGGAGTTCCTCAGTACGCTCCAGTGGCAGGGTTCCCATGCGCCCCCCCGCACAATATTTGCACATTCCTCACGCGCTTCGTGGCCCCATATGGGGATCCACCGAAGGCCCTAGTGGCAGGCTTCTCATGCGTCCGCCCTGCCCATTCCGACACACCCCTCACACGCTTCGTGGCCCCCTAGGGAGCTAACTCCACCTAAGGTCCCAGAGGCGACGTTTCATGACCCCATATGGAGGTTCACCGAAAGCCAGAGCGGCAGGGTCTGCATGCGCCCCCCCGCACCATGTCGGCACGCCCCTCACAAGCTTCGTGGCCCCAAAGGGAGCTTCAAGGAAGGTTCCAGTGGCTGCGTTCGAATGGCGCCACCGCGCCCATGTCGACACACACACACACATACACCACACGCTTCGTGTCTCCACAGGGAGATCCATCGAAAGCGGTACCCACAACGTTGTGTTCACAATTGCATATGTTGTGTCCTTCGCCATGATACATCTTTCTGAGGTAGGATCGGACCACGCGGATCCCGTTGCTATCGGCCAGTTCGTGGCAGAACAGGCGTATATTACAATACGCAATAAGTAAGGATAGCAGTAGCATTAGCAGTTGGAGCTGGAGTAGAACTAGAAGTATGGAAAGTGCTAGTGGCTGGGGAGCCTGGCCCCGAGCAGCACCGACGGAGGACACGACGAGCAGGATCAGGAACACCAGGAACAGGAGCAGGCGTCTCAGGAGCCGGAGCAGGGCCAACCACCTGTATGGAGTCAGCCGAAGACACCCGCTCCCGCCCTCCCTGCTGTGGCACGAGACTGCGTGCGGGCGCAGCGCAGGTGTGAAAGCCGGGACTCGGCCGCGCTCCCGTCTGATCTCCGAGCGGAAGGCGCTCGCGCTCGTGCGCAGACGCCGCTCGCGGCGACTACTTGGCCGAGGGAGCACACAACTACATCACGCTCCCACCAACCATCCTGCGGTGTTGGGTCCTCGTTTTGAAGGTGCAGCGCCCAGCGCCTCGTTCCTCCTCTCTCCTACCGCTCCTCCCAGAACCCCCATCCCTGCCCCCGCCCACCGCGTGTCCCTGTCGGTTCACCCCTCACACGTTTCGTTTCCCATAGGGAGCTCCACCGAAGGTCCCAGTGGCAGGGTTCGCATGCGGCTCCCTGCCCACCGCTGGCACACGCACACCCATCACACGCTCCGTGGCCCCATCGGGGGCCCCAACGAGAGCCCCAGTGGCAGTGTTCGCATGCGGCTCACCGCCCATTCTGAGACACCGCTCACACGTTTTGTGGCCCCCTCAGGAGCTCCACCGAGGACGATGCTCACCCACTGCGTTCCTGACACTTGCATCAGGGGGAGCCCTTCGCCGGGGCAACTCTAACAGTGCGCCGCGAGCCCCGTGGCAGAAGCAAGCAAGGGGAGGGGGGGAGAGCGGGAAGGAAGGCGGAGCTCGGGGGGAGGGGAGGGGAGGGGAGGGGAGGGAGGGGGGGGGGGAGGGAAGGCGGGAGGGGAGGGCAGGAAGGACAGCGGGGAGGGGGGAAACGCGGGCAGCTCGCTCGCGCGGAGCTGCCGCCACTGGGGCGCACGCGTGCTGGGCGCCAGGCCCGCCGCTCAGCCGAGGCCGCCCTCCCCACGCTTGGGCGCCAGGCCCAACAGGCCTGGCGTCAGTCTAGCCTTAAGCCGGGCCTGTCCCTCTACAGGGGAGAAGTTAAAAAATAATACAAAAATAGTCTGCGGACGATTTGTTACATATTTGTTGTGATTGTTTGAATATGTTTACTGCATTTTTGGAGTATGTTTTATTTTCCGTCCAAAGTCCGCCTGTAGGGTGACATGCCCAACCTAAGTCTAGCCTGCCCCAGCTTTGGGCAGGGTGGGGCTTGGCATGCGCTGGGCTGACGGTCCGGGGGAGGGAAGAACCGCGTGCGCACTCGCGGCAAAGCAGGGCGGCGCGACGAGGGAGCGCGCTTGCGCGGCCACCGCCCGCGCGGGCGCCCTGCAGCGGGCCCCGAGGGATCATTGAGCAGAGTGCAGCCCCGAACCCGAACAGCACAAAAAAAACGTGGCCTGACTTGAGCCTGTGGGTTTTTAGGGCTATATATATACATGTGTATATATATATATATATATATATATATATATATATATATATATATATATCGGAGGTGAGGGGGTGAGATCGAAGTGGAACGGAGAGCCCCCGTACCGGGAAATCGATTTCGGTTTCGTGTTCGTGCGTGCCGTGCGTGCGGGCGAGGCGAAGCTGCGTGGGCGGGCGAGAGGGAAGTCTCCTGTGGCTGAGGCGCGGCCGGACCAAATGATTCTCCACCGGGCGGCCGGTGGCGCGCGGTGTCCCGCCGGTGTCCCGGTGGTGTCCTCTGTGGCTGAGGCGCGGCCGGACCAAATGATTTTCCACCGGGCGGCCGGTGGCGCGCGGTGTCCCGCCGGTGTCCCGCCGGTGTCCCGTCGGTGTCCCGTCGGTGTCCCGATGATGATGATGTTGTTGATGATGATGATGATGATGATGGTGCTGCTGATGATGATGGTGATGATGATATCGATAGAGAGACCGAATGTGATATCGATAGTGAGACCGAATGCGAGATCGATTGTGAGATCGTTTGTGATATCGATAGCGAAATCGATAGTGAGACCGAAAGTGATATTGATTGTGATATCGATTGCGAGATCGATTGTGAGATCGATTGTGATATCGATAATGAGATCGATAGTGAGACCGAATGTGAGATCGATAGTGAGATCGATAGTGAGATCGATAGTGAGACCGAATGTGAGATTGATGGTGAGATCGATAGTGATATCGATAGTGAGATCGATAGTGAGACCGAATGTGAGATCGATCGTGAAATCGATAGTGAGACCGAATGTGAGATCGAATGTGAGATCGACTGTGATATCGATAGTGAGATCGATAGTGAGACCGAATGTGAGATCGATTGTGAGATCGATAGTGAGATCGATAGTGAGATCGATAGTGCGACCGAATGCGAGATCGATTGTGAGATCGATAGTGGTATCGATAGTGGGATCGATCGTGAGACCGTATGTGAGATCGATAGGGAAATCGATAGTGAGACCGAATGGGAGATCGACAGGGAGATCGATAGTGAGACCGAATGTGAGATCGATAGTGGGATCGAAAGTGATATCGAGAGTGAGATCGATCGAGTGCGACGTTGGTCCCCCCCCTCCCCTCACCTCCTTATCACCCGAAGGGTGGTCGTATACATATATATATATATATGTATATATATATATGTGTGTGAGTTCGTATGCGTTTTCCACAGGAGGGAAGGCCTTCGGACACTCGTGACCCCCGACACGTCGCGTCCGCGGCCACCCTTTTTCTGCCCGGGTTGGCCCGCCCGGGCCGCTTTGAGAGACAGCACGTTTTCCCTTCCGCAAAACAAGTTGCATTTCCTATACTCGGTTGTGCGCGACGTGATTGCGCTCAACACCCCGACGCGGGAGCCGACTTGCCACTGTCATTTCGAAGGGGCCTCTCAGTGTGAGACTGCCTCGGAGGCTGGAGGGTGCCACCACATCGAGCGGATCTTGTCTCGTCAGCTCGAGGGGGTGCGGAAGCAGCTGAG